GGGAGGACGCCCCCGTCTGCGGGAGCCCCCCCGGGACCTGGAGCGTGTGGGAGGACGCCCCCGTCTGCGGGAGCCCCCCCGGGACCTGGAGCGTGCGGGAGGACGCCCCCGTCTGTGGGACCCCCCCCCCTCGGGACCTGGAGCGTGCGGGAGGACGCCCCCATCTGTGGGAGCCCAGAAGGAGGCTGCTGCATCAACTAAGCGGCCTTCCAGCAGGCAGAGCGGGGATCTGGATGCCTGGAGAAGTAAATTTAAAATGTTGAATGCTGTGGTCTTCAGCGAATAGTTACTGCACACCTACTGCACGTGGGGAAAGGAGCCCTGGTGGCGCAGTGGTTAAAGCGCTTGGCTGCCAACCAGAAGGTCAGCAGTTCAAACCTATCAGTTGCTCCCCGGGAGAAAGATATGGCAGTCTGTTTCCATAAAGATTATAGCCTTCAAAGCCCTATGGGGCAGCTGTCCTCTGTCCTACAGGGTCACTATGAGTTGGAATCGACTTGCTGGCATCGGGTTTTGTTTTGGGGTTTGCACATGGTGAGAAATTGTTCCGGTCTTTGTGTAAGTAACAGGAGATGCGGGCTCTGGCTTTTAAGGGGCTTCTGTTTTGCCCTGACCTTTGGGAAGGTCACAGATAAAAATGGATGTTAACGTTTGTGACTGGCATCCATGCAGGCCCCACAGTCTTCTCGGGCCTCTGGAAACCCAAGCCTTTAAAGGTCCTATTTTTTCTTCATAAGCACTACATACCTGGCACGTGGTGGGCACTCAGTGTACTTCGTGAGTGAATGAACATTCGTTGCCGTTATTAAGATGAAGACTACAGATAAACCAGAAGACACCGAGTTTAATCTCACCCCACAGAGCTAACCACCGAAGGGTCTTCTGAAAGCAGGAGATAACTAGCCAGCTCCTCCCTCCGGTGCCCAATTCTTCCATCAGGGGCTGTGACCACACGGCCACCGCGCTTGTGAAGCCAGCTCCAGGAGACCCAGGAGTGTTGACAGGCTTGTTGGGAAAATCCGCTTGGAAGCGGCGCTGCTTGCCTGCTCCCCAATGACTCTATTCTGTGAACACAGTTCCGATTTAAAATAATCTACTGTACTCTGTTATAGGATTGCCATTTGTAGTGTTTGGGTTAAATTTTGTTTTCTTCCTTTTTAAAAGGTTAGAGTGCCCGTGTTTTGTATGCATGGAACTTAGAAAAGTCCTAGTGTAACCTCTTCTGTATAGTTGATTTTTCGGCAGGTCTGTGAGTTGATACAGAAGCAGTGTGATAGAAGGGGAAGAGCAGTGGGCAGGGCTCTGCCTACAGTGTTGAATGCTCGTTCTGACTTTAATCAGAGACGCTAGGCTGGAGGTTGTATGTAATTACTTTGGATCTCAGTTTCCGCTCTGAGAGAACAAGGAATTGCATTGGTCAGCCTTTCAGCCTCACTGTGGTAGCCATGGATATCCTGGTGGCGTAGCGGTTAAGAGCTTGGCTGCTAACCAAAAGGTCAGCAGTTCGAATCCACCAGCCACTCCTTGGAAGCCCCATGGGGCAGTTCTACTCTGTCCTGTAGGGTCGCTATGAGTCACAATGGACTCGACGGCAACAGGGTTTTTGGATCATGGACTAAGCTATGGCAGCCAACCAAAATATCAGCAGTTCAAATCCACCAGCCACTCCTTGGAAACCCTATGGGACAGCTCTACTCTTTCCTGTAGGGTCGCTATTTAGGTAAATCGCTAAGCTGTGCTTCCGATGGTAGTTTTATACGCTGTTCTGATTCTTACTGATAGTGTTGTAGCTTCCTCTCTCCTTCCCTGGTGTCCAGACTGTCACAGCTACATCAGGGGACTTTCCTGTGTAACAGCTATGACCAGCGGTAGTCTGTAAGCCAGGTGTTCAGCCCCCTTCCTTCTTGTGTTCCAGGTGCTCCATGCTGGCCTGCAGTGCTTATGTGGCTCTGGCTTTGGGTGATAACCTCATGGCTCTGAATCATGCCGATAAACTCCTGCAGCAGCCCAAGCTGGCGGGGTCTCTGAAGTAAGTGCGACTTGCCCTCCATGGCCCTGGTTTGCTGTTCTGTTTGGAAGTTTTCAGCTAGCTTGTGGTATGTGTCACTTCTTTTATACATATACAGTGGAATACATATTTCCTAGGGAAAGCAGCTGATTAAAAAAGGTTTCACTGATGTTCCTGGTGGTGACATTTTTGTCACGTGTTGCGCCTCAAGGGTTAGTGGAAATGGCATTCACTGGACAGAGCTAGGAGACAGAAGCCTCGAACTCGCTGAGGTCCGCTGCTAGGTCTGACCAGACCATCTTATCACTTATGCCCAAAATTAGACGAGTCTTTAAGGAACAGACCCACACATACACACACACAAAAAAAAAAAAAAATTTGGTCAACATAATACATATACTCTGAGGGATGTGGTTTAAGTAGACAAATAAGAAATTTTAAAGTCTTTTGCAAACTACTGTACCACTTTGTGAGACACTGTTATTCAGACTTCCACATACCTCTTCAGTGTTGGTGTCGCTGTCAATTCTAAAACACTCCAAGCACTCCATCTTTTCCTTCATCTAAACCTAGTCAGATGCAGCGTGCTTTGAATCCATGTGTGATGCTGATGCTGGAATCTCATCCAAAGTCACAAGGGCTCTGCATAACATCAGGACAAAAAAAGTCAAACCCATTGCCCTCGAGTCGATTCCGACTCATAGCAACCCTGTAGGACGGTGGTTTTTTTATTCATCCTGTGAGTATATATGGAGTCCTGGTGGTACAATGGTTAAGAGCTGTGGCTGGCAACCAAAAGGTCAGCAGTTTGAATCCACCAGCTGCTCCTTGGAAACCCTGTGGGGCAGTTCTGCTCTGTCCTCTGGGGTTGCTGTGAGTTGGAATCGACCCGATGGCAACGGGTTTGATTTTTTGGTTGGTCGTGTCAAGAAGACGTTTCATTTGGTTAAAAAAAATGTTTTGTTTTAGTTAAATTCAGGTAGCCCTTTGAATTCGTGCATACGTGTCTACGTTTGTGATGAGTTTTGGCTTAGAGATACAGCTTTAATGACATTTTTAAAATATATTATTTCAGAGTATTCTTGAAGTTACCAATTTTTCATTTAAAAGTTGTCAGCTCTGTCAGGGCGTTTGGTGGAGGACAAAACAATAGGTCATTGCCAACTCTGCTAGTTAAAGGAATGGCTGAATAAAGAGCTCACAAGTGACTAGTGTGCAGAAATTGCAGGAAGTGTTGTAAAAAACCTGAGATTCGAGGACCCAGGGTCCATAAGGACAGACTCAGCCAGGGTAGGCTGGCTAGGGGAGGTGAGCCGGCCCTTTAAAAGGAAGGGTGGGTTATTGACCACAGGTGAGGTGGCAAGGCCACAGGGGAGCAATGGGTGTGCCCTGCCCGGAAGACGGGTTGGATGTAGAAAAACCCGTTGCCATTGAGTTGATTCCAACTCATAGCGACCCTATAGGACAGAGCGGAACTGCCCCGGAAGGTTTCCAAGGAGCAGCTGGTGGATTCGAACAGCCAACCTTTTGGTTAGCAGCCAAGCACTTCACCACTGCACCACCAGGGCCCCCGGATGTGGGGAAGTGGGGCCAAACTGTGGAGAGTTTGAAGGCTCTGAAAGGGTGGTTTTGTTTTGTTCCTGTGCAGAAAAGGTGATTAGGATTTTGTCAGAGGAGTAATATGTTTAAGACTTTTTATTTTGAAGAATTAGATGATGATGTGGAAAATGGCTCAAAGTAGGAGACTGGAAGAAACAGACTGTTGTAAGCCAGGAGAATGTGGGTCTGGCTTAGGGTCAACAAAACCGTTGCCATCGAGTTGATTCCGACTCACAGCGACCCTATATGACAGAGTAGAACTGCCCCATAGGGTTTCCAGGGAGCGCCTGGTGAACGCAAACTGCCGACCTTTTGGTTAGCAGCCATAGCTCTTAACCACTTCACCACCAGGGTTTCCAGGGCATAAAAAAGATGGTGTAAAAAGCAGGAAACCTTTGGAATAGACTTAAGATTGATCCAGTCTAAATCTGCTCTCACTCTGGCACCTTCAGACTATTCCAGCAGGAGAGACTGGAAGACCAGATTCCGACGCCCACGCAGGGGGCAGCCCTCCTTGGACCCGTCTCTCAGTTTACAGCCCTGCTGCTACCTTTATTGTGCTCGTATTATTCTCTGCGTGAATAAAAGAGCGTAAATTTGCCAATTTTGGACTGCCTTCTTAATTGATACGTGAAATTTGTTCTCTTTAACATAAAATTTGTTATTGCATATTTTAAGATGTTTTTAAGAGGTGAAATTTATGATGACTCTTAATGGATCCATTTCACTTAAATAGATTTCAATTTAAAGACTTGAAGTATCTATATAAAGTATGTCATCATGCACCGGGTTTTTTGTGTAGTATACACTGGGTGTGTTTGTGTAGTACACACTGGGTGTGTTCGTGATAGCATGTTTTCCTGTTTGAAATCGGCTCTGTCATTCTAGGTTTCTGGGCCATTTATATGCTGCAGAAGCCCTCATCTCTCTGGACAGAATATCTGACGCCATCACGCACTTGAACCCAGAGAATGTCATTGATGTCTCCTTAGGAATCTCTTCGAATGAGCAGGACCAAGGTTAGCGAGGACGCATTGGATCAGAGCTGGTCACTGTGCTGCCTTCCCGCCATAATTCAGCATGCATGGAGATTTAAGGGCACAGCGTGAGGGCTCAGCGTGAGGGCACGGCGTGAGGGCTCGGCGTGAGGACTCGGCGTGAGGACTCGGCGTGAGGGCCCGGCGTGAGGGCCCGGCGTGAGGGCTCGGCGTGAGGGCACGGCGTGAGGGCCCGGCGTGAGGGCCCGGCGTGAGGGCCCGGCGTGAGGGCACGGCGTGAGGGCACAGCCTAAGGGCCCAGCGTGAGGGCCCAGCGTAACGGCACGGCGTGAGGGCCCAGTGTAGGGGCACAGCGGGAGGGCTCAGCATAGGGGGCTCAGCATAAGGGGCTCAGCGTGAGGGGAGGGAGTTTCAGGCCGGCTCTCCGCCTTTGGGCTGCACTGCTCTTGTACGGATTGCTCAGTAGACCTGAGAATTGATCCTCACATGGTCAGAATCCTCGCTTCTGAAAAGCTGATAGCATTACAGCAGTTTGTTTTGGTTCAGATGCTGTATTTTTCTTTTTAGAGTGATTTCACACTCCGGGAAGAGTAAAAATACCGCATTCAGAAGTCAGTTTTGAATCTAAGTTTTTTGAGGGAGCGAGATTATGGCATTGCCTTTATTCAGGGTTGTTTCTCAGGCTTAGGGCAGTGGTGAGTGGCGGCACTGTGGAGGTCTTTGTTAACAGAACCCCTTCTGCATGAAACGTAATATGACAAACTTGATTTGATATTAGATTTCCATTTCATAAAGAAAATTCGGTTCTCAGAAAATGGGCTCCATTTTCCTGCTGCCTCAGATGTGTTTTCCTGTCTTTATAGGATCGGACAAAGGTGAAAATGAAGCGATGGAGCCCTGTAAGTAAGAAGTTTCTAGTTCAGAATAAATACTTGGGTAGCCTGGCTGGCATCCCACAGATCTAGCCTTCCCTGTCCTTCGCTTGTCGGTCTGAGGAGTAGTGCTTTGTTCTGAGTGGGCCCTGGGGGGCGGGGGGCCGGTAGCACCCCTGCCCCTGGCCCTGCCTCTTCCGCAGTGCCTCTGCTCCTTTTCCCCAGCTGGGAAGCGGGCCCCTCAGTGCTACCCAAGTTCCGTCAGCTCCGCCAGGACTGTGATGCTCTTCAACCTTGGCAGCGCCTACTGCCTGCGGAGCGAGTATGACAAGGCCCGCAAGTGTCTCCACCAGGTGAGGCCAGGAGGGTGGGGCTGAACCTCCTTCTGGAGCAGCCGGCAAAGGCTGTCTGTCCCATAGTGACTGACAGATTTCTTAAAGATTTCTCCAGTTCAGCTGTCCCAAAAGTAGGAATTGAAGCTCTTAGAAATGACCAGCCCCACCCTGAGTGTTGAACCAAGGGGCCTTCCTCTGACTCTGGTTTTACAATGGGTAACAAATCAGCATTACCTTTCGCATATTCACTAGCATCATTACTGTGACTATCTAAAGGTAATCCTGAAGTTCCCAAAGTGCCTTGTCCATGCATTCGCCAGGAATCTCAACAAGAGATTGCCCACGTAAATTTGTTTATCATTGGAATATTACTCTTCTGAGTTTAGAAGTATTCCTGCAGGGTAAACAGAACTGACCAGTGTTGCATATGAGCCTAGACACTTAGTGGAGAGTTTTCCTGACGCTTTTAATAAATTAAGCAATTTAAACAAAAGACCAGAAATGGTCTAAATAAGGGACCGCTTAAATAAATCATGGTGCATCCATACAGTTGAACACCACGCAGCTGTAAACCCTGTGTACTAATATGGAAAGATAGCCAGGACATTTCAGGTGAAAAGAGCAAGACATAGAAAGTTTCTGTATAATCCCGTATGTTCATAAAAGGTCTCTGAAAGGATGTACCACAACCTGGTTGCAGGTGGCAGGATGAGTTCTGTGTGGCTGGAGATCCAGAGTGGGAGACTTCCCACTGGATGGTCTTAGGCATTTTCATTGTGACTTGTGTAAATCTGTATCTATTCACAGGAGCCCTGGTGGTATAGTGGTTAGGAGCTCAGGCAGGCAACCAAAAGGTCAGCAGTTCAAATCTACTGGCCGCTCCTTGGAAACACTGTGGGGCAGTTCTCTGTCCTCCAGGGTCGCTCTGAGTCGGAACCTAGTCAGCGGCACTTAACAACATATCTATTCAGAAAGTTAAAAGTGTATTTTTCAGAAAGACAAGGTTCAGAAAGCCAGTCCCAGAAAAACCCCATACACACTAAAGAGAGCTACTGGCGGTTCAGAACTAAAATAGACCCCTGTGTTCCACCGCTGGAGTGGTGTGTCTTCCAGTAATGCAGTTAGCGGGGAAGTAGAACGCCGACTTCTGGCTGGCCCAGCCTTGGGAAGCGGGTGGGCTCAGACGATAGCATCGGGCTGGTCAGTGCTGAAGACCACCAGGTGCTCAGCCCTAACCTGTGGTCATGAGGTCTGACCATCCCCAGATAACAGCTCGCTGTAGCTTTGAGCACAGCACTAGGGTGCACACTCGCAGAGTTGGACACATTTCAGAGCAGTATGTACCCACGGACTGTCACTGATTGGAGGTTTCTTCCCCTAGTCGTAGGGCATGCTCAGTGCCAACAGCTTAGATCGTGTGCGCACACCGCCCACGCAGAAACCTTAAACCCACACAAACCCCATGGCCGAAAGATAATCCCTGTTTACCCTTTGGTCTGTATCCATCCAGTTTTTCCCCAGATACATGTGTATTAATGTTGATAACTTATCCTAGGAAAACAGTTCTTTTTTTTATCTTCTCGTTTTCACTTGGCGGCTAGTGAGCATTTTCCCGTGTCGTAGGTGATGGCCGATGTGCCCCCTTCACGTTTGAGCAGGAGGGGTAGCTTAGCAAAAGTTGGGTATTTTAGTTCTGTTTTTTCAAAGCTGCAGTGACCACTCTCATAGATATCTTTGTGTACCTTGCCGATCGTTCCCGTATGAGTCAGGTGGAGCTTTTATGTCAAATGGCAGAAACTTAGCCCAGAACAGCTTCAGCGCGAAAGGGTATTTACTAGCTAATGAAGCTGGGAAGTCTCAGGGTCGACCGGGCAGAGCATTTGGCTGCTGGCAGCCTCAAGTCTAGATTCTTTCAGATCAGACTTCCAGAGGGAGAAGCAGCTGCCTCCCTTTGTCAAGTCTTAAGGAAGATCCTGGCTGGGCCTCTGGGGCCACTGCCCAACCCTGCCCCCGTGATGAGCACGGGCCCGGCCTTAGTCTGCTAGCACTGCTGACAGAAACACCACAAGTCGGGAAGTTTAACAAACACAGATTTACTTTCTCACAGCTTAGGAGGCTAGAAGCCCAAGTTCTGGGCCCCAGTCAAGGGGAAGGAGCTGTCTGTCCATTCTAGGGGAAAACCCTTGTCTCACCTTCCCCAATGTTCTTCTTGGAACTCCTTGGAGATTTCCACAGGGCGTCTGTCTTCCCGCATTCTTGCTGGCATGCTTCTGTGCCTCGTTTGCTCTTTTTATATCTCAAAAGTGATTGGTTTAAGACATGCCCTCCACTGATATGGCTTCCTTTTCCAAGGAAAAGCCTATTCCCCGATCAGATTACATCCACAGGGTTAGGGGTTAGGATTTATAGCACGTACTTATGGGGGACACAGTTCAATCCATAGCAGTCCCACACCTATAGTAGGGGACCAGGTACCATGATTGATGGCCCCGGCGGGATTTCACAGACTTGGAAAAGGGTAATTCCTGAAAGGGAGATTCATTCAGCAGGTATCTGTTGAGCACCGCCTTCTGTGCTACACTGTGGGGATAAGAAATGCCTGAGCAGACATAGTACAGTCCTGCCCCCGTGGACCTTACAGGAGGAAGCCTTTCTAAAAAGAAAATTGCAAGATCAGAGGTTGTGCAGAATTTTGATTTTAAGGCCCTGACAAAATGTGTGCCAGGTGGTGTATTCACCAGCAGTGCACCAGAGAGCCCGCACCCCACATCTCAGCCTGACCGGAGTGGAACATAAGCCTCCTCTCAGGCAGCATGGTGGCTTCCAGAAACTTCTCGCCTGTAAAGGTGACCTCATTGTGCCTGGAAATTATGAGGCTCACCTTGTGCAAAGTAACCACGGGTGATGCTTTGTCGGCCTCGCAGCACCTGGTCAGCATGTCTGATCTAAATCGGAAAGGTGAAGTGATGGCTGACCCTCCAAGGGCGCCTGTTTGAGTGAGGGAGGAGGACACGAGAGTGTAGGTAAAGCAGTGGAGAGGTAAAATCACAGTTCCCAGCAGCAGGTCAGGGCATGTCACAGCCCTTCTGGAAGTGCCTGCAGACCGCAGGCCACAGCAACCCAGGCTTCGATCTAAATCCACAGGCCGTACGGTCCACTCAGGTTCTCTTACGGCAGGTGGCGGTGGCAGCGGGTACACCAGGAGAGGCAGATGGGGTCCCGCCTGGCTCCGGGTCTGAAGGGGGTTTTGTTTTGGCCCCTTGGTTTTTAGGTTAATCCAGTGGCTGGGCCTCTGCTAATTGGGAGGCCCGCTCTGCCTGGAGGGCCGAACAATGATGTGAGGAGTCGGAAAGGGTCCCCGGTAGATGTTCCAAGGTCATCTGACCCCACTAACCGTTCTGAATAGCCAGTAAGCAGAAGGCCGTGGACTGTCATAAATTTGTTGCTGTGACTTCTTGTATGTCAGAAACCAAAACTCTGTCACCATTGAGTCGATTCCAACCTATAGCCACTCTATAGGACAGAGTAGAGCTGCCCCATAGGGTTTCCAAGGAGCGGCTGGTGGATTTGAACTGCCAACCTTTTGGTTAGCAGCCAAGCGCTTAACCACTGTACCACCAGGGCTGCATATTGTCGAAGTACAGTATAAATAACCTATGTTTATTAGCCACTTGGAGTGAAATGGAGACCTTCATATCCCCAAGATGGTGTAAAGCTCATCTTTCGTGTATAAACCCGTTACCATCGAGTAGATTCCAACCTTTCGGTTGGCAGCTGAGTGCTTTAACCACCAGTGCTCCTTTGAGCTAGGCCTAGAAATGTAAAATCTCGCTTCTGAACTGAGTTGTTACACCTCGGTGATGCCGTTTGAGGAACAAAAACCTCCCCCATCCTTCACAGAAACTTCTCGGGAGCATGTGTTACGGACCAGACGTCCTCACTAACAAGGGCTTCTTCTAACGCTGCCAGCACCTGACTTGGTGCCCACTTCTGGCCTCCTAGACATCCCCACATTCTCTGCGATGCCAGTTCTCCCCCCTTTCCTGCCCGTCACATACCTGCCCTGCAAGGACCAAGGCAGACCTCTTTGCCCCAAAGCTCTCCGTTTCACAGAAATGCTCCTTCCTGCCTTGGCGTTCTCACAGCATATTCACTTGTCTTGCGCCCTGTGTTTAGGTAAATTTTTTCGGGTTATTGTTTCTCATTTGCATACTGTTTATTGTCAAGTAAATCTCTATCCTGCCGCCACATCCACTTCTGGTCAGTAAAGATTCTGAGACGTACACTGTCGCGGTGCTTTCTGACCAGGTTAAGGGAAATGAAAAAGCCGTGGAAGCATCAGGCTCCTCAGACTCGATGGGCAGTGAGGAGTTGATAGTAAGGTGGGGGAAAGGCTGCAGCCCAGAGAGGCCCAGATCGAGGAAACAAACCAGGGCTTCGAACCAATGTCCTTCCGTTAGAAATGTGGATTTCTAACAAGTTCCCAGCAAGTTATACATAAGAATCACCTGGGGATCTTGTTAAAATTTAGATTCTGATTCAGTATATCTGGGGTGGAAATGCAAATTTCCATCAGGGGTTCAAACCCGAATGAACTGGCTGGAAGCCCTGAAGCAAACCTTTGATCTCAGCTACCTTTCCAGAGCCGCCCAGGGTCACTCTCAGGACTGAATCAGAGAGAAACTGCTGGCTGAATCTGCAGCTCTTACTCAGAACCGGGAAAGGGCAGCATGCACCCTAAACAAAGAAGCTTTTTATCTGACTAAATTGGAGTATGTTTCTGTCCTTAGGAGTAAGGACACTGAATGGGCTCGGTGGTGCGTTCTGTCTTTGTCGCCAGCCTGTTGAGCTTGAATTCCCATCCTCACTGGCAAGTCGTAGCTTACGATGCCGAGACGTTACTTGGGAAAACAGATGCAGCGCAACTGTATCTGCGGGAAAGAGCCCCCAGCAGGCCTGGACAGATGACTGGAGGGTGGAATTAGGGGTGTCCCATACCCCATTTCAAGACCAGATATAGAGATGGAACGAGAACCCCAAGCAGGTGCAAACCCAGAGGGAAGAGTAAAACTGCTCCGTAGGGTTTCCAAGGCTGTCATCTTTACGAAAGGAACTGCCACGTCTTTTCTCCCATGGAGGAGCTGGTAGGTTTGAACCACCAACCTGTTAGCAGCCAAGCACTTAACCACTGCACCACCAGAGCTCCTAGAGCTACATGTAATCCCTAGAAATGAACTTGAATAAATTTGTTACTTTGGTGTTGGTGAGCTAATGTACTTTTTTTTTTTTTTGGTCATTACTTGGAGCTTATAGCTTTTGCTGTTGATTTTTCATGGGTTTCGTTCTGTTTTGAACAAAGGCGGCCTCCATGATCCATCCTAAAGAGGTGCCACCAGAGGCCATCTTGCTGGCAGTGTACCTTGAACTGCAGAATGGTAAGTGATTCTCCTCTCTGCTCAGGTCAAGATTGTGTCCCGGAGAAAAGACCTAGGTTTCTGATGTCTGCTTTTCTCTTCAAAATCGAAACTTTGCTTCCTTAAAGATAACTTACCTACCAAGATTCCTCTAAACAAAAATGTAATTAGGGAGTTCTTGGTATCTTAAACAGACTCCTGCTTCTTGCAAGTTAAGCATATTTCCTTTAATCTGTGAAAACGCAGAACCCCATAACTTCTGACAATTACAATTAATCCCTACTAATTAACCTTTCTCTTGGGCGGCCAGATGGCTCTTAATTGAGAACATGAGTCAGAATGTCAGTTGCTTTGAGTTGTGCATGGGAGTTTTTGAAACTGACATTAATGAGTTTTATAGTAAGTTAATTCTGGCTGAGAATCACTTATCCAAACCTAAATCCAGGTCATGGCCGTGAGGCACATAAGACATCCAGGGCGTGGCTTAAGGGAAAGGCTCTGGGCCCTGAGATGGTGTGATGCAGGGTGGAAGTGGAAACGGGAGAGATTAGAAGGGACAGCAGTATTTAAGAGCTCTAAGTCATACCTCCTTGGTGATCATGGGAGTTCAGCTTAAGAGGGACGTTAAGGCCTGGCACCCAGCAGACCTTGGCCTCCTGAAGGTATGATCAGGGTTAGTGTCTGGTCTATTCCCGTGGTGTTCTACTGCTGATCCCTTTCTTCTTCCAGCCTACCTGTAGACAAGTTCACAACATTGGCTGTAGATTAACATCACTAGGGAGCTGTCACAAAGCCCGTTTGCCTAGGCCACAGCCTGCATCACTGGGATCAGAATTTCTGGGATGGGATGTAGGCATTGTGTGACTTCAGTGTACAGCCAGGGTTGCAGACCATGGCTGTTCGGGATCAGCTTTTCCTTTGTGTGTGGTGATGCTGCTGTGTGCTTTTTTTTCACGGGAAGTGTTTTGACAGGTAATACCCAGCTGGCCTTACAGATCATCAAAAGGAATCAGCTGCTCCCTACGGTGAAAACGCTGTCCGAGATGAGAAAGAAGCCAGTGTTCCAGCCAGTCCACCCGATCCAGCCCATCCAGATGCCGGCTTTCTCCACTGTGCAGAGGAAGTGACGTCTGGCTCTTGGAAGACTGTTACCTGAGGCCCAGGGGAGTTTTTACTGGCCTTGATAATTGCATCACAGCAAAACGAATAAAAGACAGACAGTGAAGGGTGCTAGTTCTGAAGACATAATTTTGAGACCCGTCTACTCCTGACTTTTTTTGCCAGAAACTTACTAAAAATTAAGGATTCATAAACTCACCTTCAGCCATTTTTCTTTAACCTTTTCCAGACTATTAATTTTAAGCCATTATGTGATCTGTCTGTGATCTGTCCTAGGCAATTAAAACATGGTCTTATCAGAAGAGTCTTGTATAATGCAGCATGTCTTTCTTGCAACTATGAGGGTATTATTGCACCTGAGATTTAGTGTTAAAGTTTTTAAAATTATTCCTAAGAGGACATCAGCCGCAGTAGACAAATAGCCAGTCCAGAAGCTAGTGGGGTGGTCGGGGGGTGCAGGGGAATTGGTGTGTTTCATGTCCAGTTACGACCAGAAGGACCAGAACAGGCATAAGGACCCGTAGGGCTGGTACAGTCAAGTGAAAAAGGGTTGACTGATCTGATAGGAATTGTTTGCCTAAAAATTATAAATAAAGGCAAACAAGGTTCAGCGCACTGGCTCATTCACCCTTCCGTTCCCTGAGGCCGAAGCACTGGTTCTGGTGTCTGTTAGGGAGTTCAAGGTTCATTGCTAACCCCTCTGCAAAGGCAAACAAGAATTTCCAAGCTTCCTCCCAGGAGACAGGTATGTGTGTGGGGTTGACATCGCTAAAATGTTCCCTAACTAGGGCGGCTGTGCTAACCTCAGGGGGAAGACCCACAGTGTCCACTTGCTTTAGAAACGTTGGGGACCCCGAGTTCAGATGGTGTTCGGCAGATTCAGCGAAGCTTGCCACACGGGAGAAACGGCGTCGGCACAGAAAGGTACAAAGGGCTTCCTAGCCCACGAAGCAAGAGAGAGCTGAACGTCTTCAGGCTGAGGCTTACTGGTGGAGTTGGGTGCCTCTGGGCACCTATTGGTGGAGCTGAAGAGCTTTGTAACACTTGCCTGAGCAGGACAGGGGCCGAGGGCCAGAGAGAGGCCTACCTGTGGGCACAGCTGAGAAGAGGCTGTCCTGACCCAAGAACTATATCCTGAGTCATCCCTGATCCTGAGTTGTAACCTGTTACTTGCCTAATAAACCCCATAACCATGAGTACGGTCCGTGAGTTCTGTGTGGCCACTGCAAAACAATTATCGAACCCAGCAGAGAGGTAAAACATTCCATGGGAGGGATGGCTGGTGTCAGAATTGGTTAAAAGGTTGGAGGTATGTTTGACCTCCACCTCATAGGAGTCAGCCTTGGGCTCTCAATCTTGATTCTCCCCTTCATGAAGTTAGTGGAGGTCAGATGTCCATGCTGCCATTTTTTCATGCCCTTTGTCCCTTTCAGTTTAAGCTGATGAGTCTTCTGCTGTGGTAGTAGGTTAGATCATCAGTCACAGGCATAATCTCTTTAACAAAAGATTGTATACACGTCCTTGGTGAAAATTCTAGGACACGTGTGCTTAGTTTGTACAACAGAATTTTCCAAATCATTTAAGTTTTGTTTTCATTTTGCACGATTCATTTTTAAGTTCATCTGTTTACTCTCACATTTTATTATAAATGGCAAGCAGAAACCACATGACCCCTTTAAGATCTTGCTTAGGCATCTCCTCAGCCAGATATCCAGGTTCATCACTTAAAAGTTCTACCTTTCACCAAACATTTGAACATAACTTAGACAAGTTCTTTGCCACTGCATAAAAAGCATCGCCCTTCCTCCATTGTCCAATCACATCTTCATCATTTTCTTTTAAAGCCTCATGAGAAGCAAATTTAACGTCCATATTTCTAGCAACATTCTGTTGCTTGTGCGTAAGTATTCTCTAAGATGATAGAGACTTTATAGCTCACTCACTTCCTTCTGAGCGCTCACCAGAATTGTCTCTGATGTCCACAGTTCTACCAGCAGCCTCTTGAAGGCAATGTAGGCTTTTACTATTGTTGTTAGGTGCCGTTGAGTCAGTTTGGACTCACAGCGACCCTGTGTACAGCAGAACAAAACACTGCCCAGTCCTGCACCATCCTCACAGTCGTTACGCTTGAGCCCGTTGTTGCAGCCACTGTGTCAATCCATCTAGGCTTTTACTATTAGGCATCTTACCACCCTCTACCCGTTACCCAATTCCAAAACCAGCTGCACATTTTAGGTATCTGTTAGAGCAGCACCCCACTCCCAGTACCAAATTTTGTCTTAGTTATCTACTGCTACTCCAACAGAAATCCGACAAGTAGTGATGCCTTTAACAAATTTATTCTCTCTCTGTCAGCTGTGGAGGAAGGTCCTTGTTGCTTCTGCTTCTGAGCAATCTTCACATGGCTGGGCATCTCTCTTCCCTCATTTCTGCTTACTCGCTTGTTTAATCTTTTATATCTCCAAAGAAATTGAGTCAAGACATACCCTACACTAATCTTGTCTCATTAACATGACACAGCCCATACGCAGATGGTATTATAACCATAGGCATTAAAAAAAAAAAAACCATTGACATGGAGTCAGTTCTGACTCAGTGACCCTATGGGACAGAGCAGAACTGCCCCATAGGGTTTCCAACGAGCAGCTGGTGGATTTGAACTGCCCACCTTTTGGTTAGCAGCTGAACTACTAACCACTGTGCCACCAGGGCTCCACCATAAGCATAGAGGTCAGGATTTACAACACATTTTTGGGAGGACACGATTCAATCCGTAACAAAATCTTCAGAGAAATCTCAGGAAATTAGAACTTCCCCTGCTTACTAGTTTGTTTATGGGAAAGCAGAAACAGCTGTGAAGGCCGGGTGCCCTTGGCAGATCCCAAGGTTAAATGTAAGCTCTTCCCCCATTACAATTTGACTCAATGGGCTTCCCACTTGTTTTCCTGCCGCAATTTATTAAAGCCACCTCTGCTGAGGTAATCCTAACTTAACATAAAAAGTTTTCAATGTCACTTCACTTCAACTTCCTGCCTGCCCCCAATGTCTTGACCCTTTGTGTCCCTCCTGGTGCATACCCATTCTTCTGTAGTCCATGGTTTTATGGAGTTTAGCAGGTGTGGATGTATGCATCAAGATCCTCAAAGGTGGCATCTTATTTGCTGGAGCTTTAGATTCTGGGGAGAGACCCACTAGCTTCTGTTCAAGCTCCACCACCCATTCAACAGCACCATCTACATAATGGGGCAAGATTCACCTCATGGACCCCTGCAAGGACCCAGTGAGAATGTTGTTGCAAGTGTCCCCAAAGCTGCAAGGCATGAACCCTCAGAACAGCTGGATCTTTCATTATGCCCCCTGGCCCTGACCCCATAGGATGACCCCGTGCAGAGCTATGCTCAGCCCATGTCCTTAACTGGCATCTAGGTCCAGCAACCTCCCGTGGCTCGTCCTGATCCATTTCCACCTGCCTGCGCGGGAGCATCACTCACCCTCCAGCCTCTCAAAGTGCCACCCTTTCATAACAAAAGTTGCCCCGATATTCCCACCACTCATCACCCCTTTTCTGACGAGTTATCTGGAGCTCTGCCCCCTACTCAACTCAGAGGACTTTGAGCAGATGACAACTGGTTTGTAAAAGAATACCTTGCCCCTGGGAAGGATTGAAGTGGGATGATGAGTGCAAAGTACACCCAGTGGACAGGGGAGTTCACTTGTTCCTCCTGTTGTCTTAAGGGCCTGTTCAGCCCAGTCACCCTCCACATGTTCATCTCACTCTGACATCTCTGAGTCTGTTCTACCCTCGTCTTGGAAATCACCGGGAGAAATATGTCTGATGACCTCCTAGATCCTGGAATCAGACTCTGGCTTCAGGTACTGGTTCTCTCACTTCCTGGGACAAGTTACTTTGCTGCTTTGTGCCTCAGTTTCTTCATCTGTAAGATGGGGATATTGTTAGTAACTATCTCACAGGATTGGAATGAGGTTTAAGGGCCTGGCCATTGTTACTATTGCTACATGTAGTTTGAACTCCAAATGTCCAAATGGGAACGCCATGATTGTTACTGTGTAATATAAAAGGCGTATCAAAAGAGACTTTCCTGGACCATTGACATTGGAAGGTAGCCCTGGGATTAGGCAATGGGGAGAGTGTGTGTGTGGGGGGGCTCCTTGAGGTGAATTATTACTCCTTTTTGTTTTTAATATTTTATTGTGTTTCTGGTGAAAGGTTACACAGGAAAGCAGGCTCTCATTTAACAATTTCCACACACATTGTTCAGTGACATTGGTTACATTCTTCACAATATCTCAGCATTCTTGTTATTTCCATTTTGGTTGTTCTGTTTCCATTAATCTAGTTCCCCTGTCCCCCCTTGCCTTCTCATCTTTGGTCTAGGGTAAACGTTGACCATTTGGTTTCATCCTGATGATTATTTTGAGGAGCACAGTACTTACATGTGATATTATTTATTTTATGGACCAGTCTGTCATTTGGCTGAAAAGTGACCTCTGGGAGTGGTTTGAGTTCCAAGTTTAAAGAGTATCTCAGGGCGATAGCGTCGGGGGTCCATCTAGTCTCTACCGGTCCAGTAAGCCTGGCCTTTTTTTAGCCTCCTCCATTTTTCATATCTCCAGTACCTGGTGCATTGTCTGCTCAGCGAGTACTGGCATCCTCTGGTTTCTCACCCCGTTCCCACCTGCCCTGCCCAGGGCCTCATCCTGTGACAACGAGGGCTTCCAGGTCTCCCTGCCTCAGGTCCCTCCCACGCTTTCCTCCTGAGGCGGTTCTGACTCCTGCCCAGGGGTGCCCCCAGCTCAGGAGGCCTTCAAGGTCAGGTATGGCATCTCCTCCTCCCTCCCTACTTAAAAAACCAAACTCCTAGTGACCCTAAATTCCTCCCTCACAGCCCATAAAGGAGTCACCATTTCCCACCCGAGGCTTTGCTTCAGTCCCCTCCCCCACCTGAAATTTTATCCAAGTTTCCAACCTGCCAATATCCTGTCCATCTGACATTGCCTCTCCGTGGTCCTAACCTCTGAGGAGATCCTTCTGATGCCCCAACTCGATTCATTTCATACGTGCTTACTGAGGGCAGGCTTCCAAGCCAGTGAGCCCCACAGTAATTGGGCAAATTCACAAGCACAGTCCACTTTGTCTTGCATGACATGTTTTTGTCAACCGTTTCCTTCCCCCTCCTGGATTGTAAGCACCTCTGGAGACAGGACTGTACATTATCCAGTGTGTGGATTGTTCTGGGTGCACAATAAATGTCTCCTGAATGGAATTTTTGGTAGTGCTCTC